TCCCAATCTGATTGGTCAATAAATGGACCAATCAGATATCGGGAGGAGGTTTTTTGCTTTTTATAAGGACTACACCCACTCATGTTTGGGCGGTCGTGTGAAGCGAGCCAAACATGCTAACCAGAAAATTGTGGTTCACTTCATATTGGGAAAATGGATCGATGAAAATGCGAGCCGTTACTTTACCGTCATCGGACCGTTTTCCCAAAACAGAACAATAATACTCACAACCCGGAAGTGTCATTCCCAACACAGAACACAAGCACTTCCGGGTAGTGAATACTTTTGTTCTGTTTTGGGAATGACACTTCGGGTAGTGAGTACCTTTGTTCTGTTATGGGAATGATACTCCCGGGTAGCGAATACTTTTGTTGTGCTTTGGGAATAGCACTTCTGAGTTGTGAGTAGTATTGTTCTGTTGTGGGAAAGATACTTCCGGTGTTAGAGTACTATATATTTACAGTGGGTATAGTATGGGCTAATGGACTCCACTTTGGCACACGCCAACTTTCGCTCACTTCATACGACCCTTCCGGCACACCTACGATAAAATTTAGATTCCAAACATTATCAGAATACATAAGATCGATCACAGATTCAAAGGTTGATAGAATCCTATAGACATCCGATCGGAAACCGATAGTCTGAATAAAGGGGGATCTCAACAATCCGAAATTATCGGAAACGTATGAGTATCCGATTGTAAGATCCGATCGGAATTCTGCAACCCGAATTCTGATCGGATTTTTGTCGGTTTCCGGGTCCGATCGGATCTGTCGTCGGATTTTTGGACCTGGGGATTCAAAGATTGATAGAATCCTGTAGAAATCCGATCGGAATCCGACAGTCTGAATAAAGGGGATCTCAACAATCCGAAATTATCGGAAACGTATGAGTATCCGATTATAAGATCCGATCGGAATTCTGTAACCCGGATTCCGATCGGATTTTTGTCGGTTTTCGGGTCCGATAGGATCCGTCGTCGGATTTTTGGACCTGAGTACTGGGGAACCTACCCTCTAAACTGATGATTTCTATTGAGTATTGCCAAACCAATAGGACTTGGGACCGAATACAGCTCAAATTTGAACTCTTCCCTTTGATTTACCCTAAGAAAGTCGTTTTTCCTATAACTTGATTTCTATTGGTCACTGCTCAACCAATAGTATTTCGATGGAAGTGGAATACAGATTCGAGTTCTCCATCTCAGAAAACCTCGAAGTATCATCACTGTGATCGGAAGATAGAGCTCTATTTGTGGATCAATTAGATCGTGGACAAAAATATAACCTAGTTCTCTTTAATTATCTTTGTGATAGATGAGCCAACCTTCTTGCTTCTTTATGTTTTATATACCATTTTGTAGCTCGTGAAATTCTCTATCGAATGGTATATAATAGTTGGGGTTTTAGTTGACTATGATAGGAAAAGTCTTTTACGAAAGTGGGGATGGGTCGATCTTTCCACAGGGAAGGTGCAGGGAAAAATGAGTATTTTTGCAATAACTCAGGAAGGGCTCGGCCAATCCTTCTCATCTTCGACCTCGACCGAGATATTGTTAAGACTGAACTGTGTAGAAAATTTCATCGCGATCGGACTCCCCTTTCGAAAGTTATCGGATAAACGGACGGACGGACGGACGGACGGCCGGCCGGACACACTGACCGATTTTAGTAATGTACTCACTTTTTGAGTACACAAAAAGATAATTTTATGGGAAAATCTGGTGTTCTTTTTTTCCATGTAGAAAATGTGACTTTTTAAACATTTTTTAGTGCATAAAACTTCTCAAAATATCTTAAGTTCGACATTACAAAGTTTACAAAACCCTTACTGTTTAGTACCAATAAATCCCGTTTTTGACGAGCTTTCTTTTGGTATAAAATTCATTATATACTCCTTTCTAGAATAATATCATTTTCTATTCTGTATTTTGGGATACCAGGTCGCCTGGTCACGCCCATAAATATTCGAAGAAATATCTGATGTCGATTCTTTGAATTGGGTCAATAATGTCCCAGAAAAAATGTCCTCACTAAAATATCCCCATAAAAATGTCCTTAAAACATTTCGCTCGAGACTCTCTCACATAAGAACATTGTTTCCAAAACATATGTTTCACAAGGACAATGTTTGAAGGACATTTTTCCGAGGATATTTTAGTAAGGACATTTTTTCGGGAACATTTATGACCGTTACCCATTCCCATTCTTTTATATAATGACGTCTTTAAAATGTCCACAGAAAATGCGCTAAAGTTCTTGTGTATTTCATGTCATTCATGCAATCGTGAAGAAAGAAAGTTTGCACTATGGTAGAAATGAAAAACAAACACTTTATGTAAAAAGGTAATGTTTTCTTTTGATTAATCCTGTCGACTAATAGCAGGAGTGGGTTTTTTTCGCTTCAAAATTCATATATTAACATCAGTCAGCAGCCAGTTTTGCACTCACTCTTGTCGATTGGCTCTATTCAAAGCATGGTAAGAAACAGAACATTTTCTTTGTTTTCGTATTCACACTTATCTCTTTTTTCTTCTCCTCAGACATCGTCACTAAAGGAGCTACGCATTGTTTTAATTGGAAAAACAGGCCATGGTTAGTACTGACCATCGAATTTTCCTTTTTATTTGTATAAACTACTTCTCTCTTTAGGAAAAAGCTCGACTGGTAATTCATTATTACATTCTTCGACCGCTTTTTGCGCTTTAGAATCAGGGTCATCAATCACAAGAAAATGTGAAGTCGGAAAGGTCTCATATACAGACAACAACGCTCAACTGAGAGCTCTCACGGTTGTTGATACACCAGGATTTTTTGATACTGATCCAAACTATACTAATGACGTGATTAAAAAACAAATTGCATCTCAAATCTTTGAGATGACCACACCAGGTGTTCATGCTTTTCTGATTGTCGTTAGTAGTACCATCAGATTTTCACCTGAAGAAAAGGCTACAATCGATTTTATTCGAAATATTTTCGGTGATAAGGCTGCTCAATATTGCATCGTCGTTCTAACGGGTGTAGATCGATTACAACAAAAAAGTCCGGAAGAGTTTGTTAATACAGCACCAGCATTAAAAGAATTCATTCAGATCTGTGGCAATCGCTTATTTGCTATGAATAATACATTAGTTGGTGAATCATTGAAAACAAAAACAAAAGAACTAATTAAGATGATTGATGATATGGTGAAAACTAATAATGGTACTTATTACACCAATGCAATATATATAGAAATTGAAAGACAAAAAGAGGAAGACGAGCAAAATCGAAAAGAAGAAGAACGGAGAAAGAAAAAAGCTGAAGAAGATGCATTGGTAGCACGAGTAAGAAACTTTTCTCATTCATTAGAATCGTTCCTTTTATGAATATATCTTCTTTACTCTGTAAAAAAAAAGTTGTTCGACTGAACCTTTTTTTCGGTACCATTTTCAGAACCTTTTTTAGTTCTAGCCAAAAAGTCTGAACTCTTTAAAGTTTCAGACTTTCGGGCTAACACTTTTTTAAGTTCTAGACTTTTCGCCTAGAACCTTAAAAAAGGTTCTGAAAATGGTACGCAAACCTAGAACCTTAAAGAGTTCAGGACCTTTGCAAAACCCTTAATAGTTCCGTATGACACCCTTTTTTTCTAGAGAGTAGATAAGAGAAGAAGAACGAAAGAAAGCAGAAGAGCGAGAACGACGGGTCAGTTGATTCACAATTGAAAGCAATTTTATTCAAAACTAGCTGTATGATTTTTTAGATTCGTGAGGAGGAAAGACAAAGAGCAGAACAACGCAACGGACCGGTAAATTCAGTTTTTAATGAAGCATCTTATTGTGAAACTTTTATACTATTAAGGGTACATCTTTTGATTTCATGCGCTATTTGACAAGTGCTTTTGGCGCAACTTCAATAAATGACTATGCGTACATGCCACATTCAACATCCAGACCTGTCAGTGCTAGTCCATATGGAGGTCGATTGACGGGTGAATATATGTCCACGACAGGTGCTGCGAATGGTCGAGCTATCTATGAAGGACCAAAGGGTGGCCGGTATCATATTACTGAAAGTGGTAACAGGAGCTACATACGAAAATGACATTACCGATTTTAAACTTTTCAAAATCTTTTTTTCCTGGCATATCTATCTCTTTTTCTCCAATTGAATAAACACAGAAACTTTCTCATGAAGCATGGCAGGGGTGAATCTCGGACTGTCAAGATCCAAAGGATTCCATCATTCCCAAAAGAATAACTTCTGACTTGGCTTCGACTCTATCGTATTTGTTCGATTCATTCTGAAGAATCATAAACAAAATATATACATCCATCCACAAATTAAGCCCACCAAAAGAAAGAAAAAACAAGATATTCAAAGCACACTTCTGACTTGTTGCATTCTTGTAGATGCATCTCTGAAGATTTCGCATTTACTACAGTCATAGAGATTTTTTTTAGGTGTGGATCAATGTTTCACTTCACCATCGGCTGTGGAGATGTCATCGAGTGATTATTAAGAGGGTGTGGGTGTGTGTGTGGGTGCGGGTGTGCGTATGAGTGTGGGTGTGGGTGTGGGTGTGGGTGTGGGGTGTGGATGTAGGTAGGTGTGGGTGTGAGTGTGGGTGTGAATGGAAAGAGACAATACCCACACCGACGCCCACACCCCACACCCGC